TAGGGTTTAGGGTTTAGGGACGTTTATTTAGGGCTTGAGGATGTTTAGGGTCTTGGGTTTAGACTGTAGGGTTTAGTGATGCTTAGACGTTAGGGATGTTTGTAGAGTTGACGGTGCGTGAGGTCCCTGGAAAGGTACTTAAGGGCTCGGACGTTCGGGGCTTCGGGTTTAGGGTTTAGGGGTTTGGGGTTCCTTTCAGGGCTCCTGTCAATGTACTCTAGGGCTGTTTCAGCAGGCTCCATGTAGCCATAAAGTCTATGTTTTGACCTTAAAGTATAGGTACCTTAAAGCCTCAGTGTCTACCCAAAGCGTCCTACGTACTGTTACTGTATGGGCGATACTTCCCTAAATCAGAATGGTAATTTCTAACATAAAAGCCCTACTACGTTTGGGTTCCTTTTCAGGTACCTTAGGACCCTTAATAACTTAAAGGGAACCCTAGTATAGAACCCCTATAACCCTTAAAGACCCTGACGTTGAGAGTGTCCGAGCATGAAGCGTTCCTTCAGAGGTACTGTCAGGGTTTAGGTTTCATGGCGTTTGGGTCGGGGGTTTCCTTCCAAAAGGTGCTAGAAGGGTTTATGGGGTTTGGGGCTTTAGTTAGAAGCCATGTCTGGAGTTCGGAGTTCAATGAGTTCTGTAGTCCAAGCCGCAAACCATCAGTTTCCTGCCCTGAAGCATGTTCGCCGCTTACGACTGAATCGCCCATGTAGTTCAGGGCTTAGAGCTGGAACAGGCCCTCTGCTCTCGTATTCTCGATCAAAGCACCCTATCCCAGAACCAGGCCGGAATTCACGCAGAAGCTGGCCGCCTATAACGTCAATGGCGCAACGCTGCTAACTCTCGGCGAGGCCACGCAAGCACTGGGCGCTACAAAGACGAGCGTTTTTTGTTGTTGGATTGCGGGCCAGTTTTCTAAACGCTCCAATCAGCATCCTTGGTGCAGGGACCCAAACCCAAACCCTAAACGAATCATCCTGGGTGCAGGGTTCAATATAACCCCCCCAAAACAATAGGCCGCTACATTACGCTTAGGGGTCCATGTGCCCATATAGTAGTAGATACCTTGGCCCTAAAGTGCCTCTAAAGGGACTACTTTAAGGCCAAAGTATGTACTATTTGGGCACGTGGACCCTTATATACCCGAAGTACCCTTTAACCCTTATTATGGAACCCTCAAAGGAACCCTCAAGGATACCATTAAAGGAACCCTGAAGTATACCATTAAAGGAACCCTAAAGGATACCCTTAAAGGAACCCCCGATATCTGGGTACACCAGGGCCTTAGGGCTACCAACAGACTACCAAACCCTACTTTTTCGTGGGTTCTTATAATGAACCCTAATATGGAATTTAATTTAAAGGGAGGGTTTAGGGTTTAGGGTTTAGGGTTGAGCCTACAAGGAAGTAGGTTTTGGTAGGTTAAGGTAGGGTTCAGGGCGCAGGCTTCATCCAGAAATTCACTTCAGAGCCTGGGCGCAAGAAGTGGACTTCCGCAGAAGAAAGCCCATGCCCAGAAAGCCTTAGGTTAAGGGTTTAGGGTTTAGGATTTAGGGTTTAGGGCTTTGGGTTTAGGGTTTAGGGTTAGGGGAAAGTGAAGCCTTAACGACGGTTCTGGTTTAAGGGTTTACTTGGAGGTTCATGGGTAGTCAGTCATAAGTGGGGTTGCAAGTCCCCATATTTTAATATGGGTTGCAGCAATTATTCATCATAATTTGTAACCCCGCTTATATCTGAGCCTAGGACAAAGAGTAATGTAGCTAGTAGCCTCTATAGAAAATACTAGTCCTTAGGGCTCCGGATCATTCTTCTGCTATAATATATGGATAGTTATCTAAATTAGGGTCCCTTTTACAAGGGTGCCGTACTATATTGGGGACCTAAAACAGGACCCTAATTTAGGACCGAGTGGTGATCTCCGCCCACGGTGCCTTTGGTGGCCTGCAACTGGCCCCTTCCCCGACCGAAGCCTGCTTTGTGTCTCGGACTCGATTCCTTTCTGTGTGGCAGTGAAAAGGTTTGCGGTTTAGAGTTTAGGGTTTAGGGTTTAGGGTTTAGGCATCAGGGAGCCATGTTGCTTAGGATGCCTTACTGCGCATCGGACGGAGCCTGAACTACAACCTGTCTGGCGAGCACAACCGGCCGGTGAAAGGAAGGTCTAGAAACCCTAAACCCTAAACCCTAAACCCTAAACCCTTAAACCCTAAACCCTACACCCTAAACCCTAAACCCTACACCCTAAACCCTACACTCAAAACCCTGAGCCCTAAACCCTAGCTGGAGTTCTGACTATGAGTCGTCTGACGAAAGCAGCTCTCCTGATTGGAGCCCATGACTTCCTGCAGGTTTAAGGTTTAGGGTTTAGGGTTTAGGGTTTAGGGTTTAGGGTGAGTTTTGGGTGCCATATGTAGCCTCTTCCAGTGCCTTCTGTCGGGCCGAGCCCTGGGGGCAATCAGAAGGAACCCAACAACAAGAACAGACCCCGAAGCCCTAAACCCTGAGTCCTAAATCCCTACATAAACCCTCAACCCTAAACTCGTTAACCTTAAAAAAACAAACCCTATACCTTAAGCAAAGAAAACAATCCCTGAACCCTAAAACAAAACTAAACCCTAAACCCTAAAAAAAGAACAAGCCCTGAATCCTAAACCTAATCCTTTGCCTAGCTTACGACTTATGAACACCCAGCTTTGCCTTGATCAACGCGCGTTTGGAACTATAACTTGCTGTTTAGGGTGTAGGGTTTAGGGGGGTTTAGGGTTAAGGGTTTACTAGAACCCCTAGTACAACCTTGTTGTTCCCAGCGAGCCCAACCACCCTTGACTCGGGGGTATACCTTGACAAACCTAATACTAGGCGCCGTATAACTGCGGATATATGCTTCAATTGTGGCCTAAACCCTAAACCCCAAACCCTAAACCCGAAAACCGAAACCCTAAACCCTAAACCCTAAAGGCCTAAACCCTAGGGTGTTGGCCTCTCTAAGAATCCATACAAATCTGGTTTAGAAACCTTCATCGCCATCGTAACCAATGCTTCTAGTAACCCCTTATGGTAAACGGTTTAGGGTTTAGGGTTTAAGGGTAACTCTGACAGATCTCCTGTAGTGGGTGATTGGGCACCCTAAACCCTAAACCCCGTAGTAAACCCCAAGAAGTTGGAAACCGGATTAAGGACAACTAGTGCTGGGATTGCCTTTACATTGCTCTTCGGGATTGTTTGAGGCTATTGAGTTTCCAATTTTTGGGCTTCTACTGTAAGCCCTGAACCCTAAACCCTAAACCCTCCTAAACCCCTACACCCTAAACCC